TGAACAGGGGAGTTACAGCTTCAAGTCTAAAATCTAGGCTGTTTCCAGTTATTGGCAGGACTACTGTAGTAGAACTTGAAACTAGTTAGCAGATGTGCAGCATTTGATTTTTAAACAGGTTACTCCCAGCTGCAGTGAAAGATTCATTAATATCCCCGTTCATGTCACAGGGGAAAGACACTACAGAAAGTGCAGTTAAATGCTCGGCGTTCAGTCACTCATCGTAAATGGTCACCTGGAGCATTAACAAGCACAGAAATTCGGGTTGAGCGTGGCACGTGTTCTTTGAACCACTCCTTACCTTCTTGAAAAGGACAACCCCGTCCTTGCTGAGCTGGTATTTGGAGAAGACGTCACTGCTGGAAGAGATCCCAAAAGGAATGTCATCAATGGACTCAGCTGCCAGTAAGAACTGCTTGGCAGCCTCCGACTCCACATCCTGGGAGAGAAGAAAAGAGGTTTTATGTTGCTCTTCAGTTTGATGGGTCCAGATATTCCATGGACACTGAACACTAAGCAAGGCAGGACAGGGAATGTTGGGAGAGTTGTGCTAGACTGGGTGAGCTCCCAGCGTTGCAGCAGGCAGAAAACCTGCTGCATATGTACACTGGGTAGTGCTGAACCCAAACTACCTTGAAGAGCCCGATCACAGTGACTTCACTGGAATCCACTAGTGTCTCAGCTGCAGCAGCATCTGCCAGGGTAGTGGCAGCTGGACCAGTGCGTTTCTTCAGCCAGTTTAGAATATCTTCAGCTTCTCTGCCAGCTGCATCAGAGGAAAAAGTTGGTGTTCATCTTTATTTTACAGACCGAGGCAGTAGCATGCGGCCTGACTGGCAGTTAAAGCACCTGATCTGGGGCACAAGGAACAAGGGATCATTCAACGCCCAGCTCCAGTTGTCTGTTTTAATCATCACATTCTATTACAGGAGATTCCTGGGGCCAGCAACACTCGCAGTCACCAAAAGGTGCTGTGAAGTCCATGGCGCTGTGTGTGGCTCTGGCTAAACCCACCCACAGTACCTGGAACCAAGGTACAAGGATTCTCTGGAATCCACTCCTTTCACTACATGCTGCGTCAATCACCAGCCAAGTGCATTTAGACTTTGGCCAGCAATATCAGCACTGCAGACTTCCTGAAGGATTCTGGGATTTTCACACAAAAGTATCAACATTTCTGACCCTAAGATATAGCTCCCCAAGTTGTTGTTACCCTCAAAAGAATCGCCATGTTTTAGAGCCTTTGAACCTTTACACTAATCAGACTGATAGAACACGCCCTCACCAAGGGCGATGGCAATTGCCCCGAGTTGTTAAACTCCAGCCTTGGGAATCACTACACACCCACTGCAGACTGAGCTTTACTCGTAGGGCTTTGCAGACCAAGTCCTAGGAGCCCCCGGACGCAGGCGCCAGGCTGGGTATCGCATGGCTACGGACAGAGTCCGCCTGTTCTGAGCGGAGGGAGGAGACACCCCAAGAGGGGCGAGACTACCCTGGGGCTTGCACCCCGCCCCTCAGATGGGGACTAGCTCATGGGGTGGGAGAGGCGCCGCTCACCTGTGTACTCGCGGGGCGACGCCTTGTCGCCGTTCTTGAAGAACTTGATGGTGGGGTAGCCCCGCACCCCGAACTGCTGCGCCAGCTCCGACTCCTCCGTGGCGTCCA